TWRTGTGTTTTTGTTGACTCTTTGTCGATATATTCCCTATGGAGCGTTAATTTATGCAACGCCTTGTAAATTTAGGTCGGATCGTTTATTTGTCGAGCGCTTGAGACTAAATTCACCTAAAAAAAATGGGATGGAAATCAGTGTTTCCTGCGGTCCTTCAAACGCAACTTCCGGCATTCATTTCAAGCAGAGTGCTGTTTTGTGTCTTTTTTTTCCTTTTTGAAATTCTTTGAACTGTAAGATCAACAMTATACTAGTAAGTTCGTACGAGCAATTCATCAGGGCTGTAGCTTACTATTTCGGTAACTTATAGGTTTTAGACGCATAGGGTCGACTTTCGAATTTCAAGGGACAGTCGGAATTAAAGAGTTAACTGCCTTAACACGTATCTTATGTACARAATTTATAACCAAAAGTCTTAACATCGTCAAAMAAAGACCTGAAAGAAGAGATTTAAAGATTTGGCTTATGCATTTTATGGAAAAAACACGCAATCACCTGTTACATGATCCCAAAACCCTTGAACATCTTCACGATGAAACATGGCGGCATTGCTGTGGTAATCGATCCACTGTGCGGCTTCGTTCACGATTGGCTACTTCTTTCACTAGTCCAGTCGACGTTGCTGTTTTGTCTTCGCTGTTGCTGTTATGTTTCAGTTCATCATTTTATATTTTTTACATTTTTAACATTTTTTACAATTCATCATTCAAACACCATAMTCACGCCTCATTAGAATCAAGTGACTCGTCGTTTTTGCCTGCTTTTAGCTAATTATGCTGAAATATGTCAATATTATATGTCGCGATAAGTACTGCTTTGTTAGCTTTGTATATATTTTCGCCATAGAAGACGTTAGACTTTTCACTGTAATGACGCCGTAACAACATTGATAATTTACAGGCCCGTTTATAAAGTTACGAGCTTCAACACATGGAAAGTTTGGCGTTTGAGCTTTATTGTTCGTTAATYATTAGTTTATCATCAACCATGATTGATTTTATTAGGTTCMTTAGAACTCGACCTAATTACATAATGTTTGTCATGTGAAAGTGGAACAGTCGTAATTTAGGGAAATCCAATGAATCAAAAGACAAAATTAAAATACTCTTTTATTGAAGTGTTTGCTTTGTCTTTTAATTAATTGGATTTCCTCTGAATTGCTAACAATCTCTTTCGTATGACAACTGYTCTGTAATTAGGAGTACTTTACTGTTGCTGGTTTTTTACAACAATTGAATCTCTCGATTTCAGGCATAACCTTYATTTATAGGTCGGTGTTTATTTTAATTTCCTCAGCAAATTACAAAACATTTTCGGTTGGAATAGACTGTAACTTATGTAGTCAAGTCTGGAGATTATCATTGGTTTCATGGCGACGCATTGATCCTTCCGATCCCAAAAGTCAAAATGCGATCTTCTATATAAAGAACTGACCCAGCCGTACTAGTTGTGCTTCCCTTCCATAGCGCATTTTTCGATTTACTRTTTTTCGTGGCAAATCATTTCAACGCAAATTGCGCAGTGATAATTGTGAAGACTGGAAAATCTGCAACAGTAAAGTATTTTTTTCTGTGGGAATTTTTTGCTCTGGACTCGTTAGATAACCTGGCCCGCTTAACATCTTATCTGGCTAGCTTTGGATCTTATCACATTTTTTTCTCAAGAAGAAATATAAAAGTAAAAAAATGTCAAAGGTCTTCTTTACGGTTGTCTGTTCCATCAGGAAAGTCGAGTTTCCCTTCGACCAGTGCAGGCTTTCAGATGAAGGGAATCGCGGAGAGAGCTATTGCCATTGTTTCACTTTATGAGAATAATGAGATTAATAATAATTGACAATGAAAGAACACTATCAAATAAACATCTATGTAAGAACCTTGTCCGAATAACAAACTCTTTGCCTCACTTCTGCGAATTGTCAACACTTATCTCGTCGCAAGATCAATACCATAAGAAAAATAAAAATTAGTGAGCAGCGATCACTAATTTATATTTTTCCTATGGCATTGCTCTTGCGACTAGCTACGTGTTGACAATTCGCGGAAGTTCGGTGGCCAGGTTTTTCCAGAGCACCCACAATCTAGAGTTCTAATATAGATTGGCTTAAATTAGAAAAAAAATGTCAGAGATTTCATTTCAAATATACATTTGCTGTTTATGTCTGAAGATCAGTTTTTCATTTCTTTCTTTTTTTTTTCTTTTTTTTTTTCTTTCCTTCCCGAGTTTTGTGTCCAGGTTGTATCACATGATGTCCATGATGTCATGTGTACTTGTGCGCAAGCGCAGTACGTATTCCTATTCAGAATTCAAGATGGCGCCTGGAGATTTGATGGATCTATCGGCAGACRACGCTAATAAGCAGCATATTGCAGCAGTTACCCGGAATTACATCTCACAACCTAGGATAAGTATGTTACTATCTCTCTTTTCTTTAGATTCAGTTTCTATGTTGTTTTTCTATGAATTATATTCAAGGCAAAGTGGAGCTCTTTCATCGGACGACTTTTCACGTGATGAATAAATATATTTCTCTTTSGTTTTTCCAGCATACAAGACTGTGTCTGGTGTCAATGGTCCTCTTGTCATCTTGGACAATGTTAAGGTTAGCTGTAAGAACGTAGATATTTAAATTATGGCAATGAAAATATTCATCGATGTTATTCAGGACGACGAATGGGCTTATGGCTCATGTGTAACAATTTCACGTACATCATCTAGCTTTCATAAAACCAATRAAAGTGAAATTATAAAAGAAATAATCAGATCGCTTTGAAATTCGTTTAAGAACTCCTGGTTCATTACAACAATTTTTAGTATGTTATGATCTTTCCTTTACAGTCATATGAATAATTTAATATGTACAATCGTATACATTGTATTTCCTAAATTAATCTCAAATCAGGCCATATTTTTGCATCTATATGATAGCAGACTTTGACTATCATATAATATGCAATAAATTGAAATAAGTTTTATAATAAATCAAAGGAATCAAATGCTCCCCAGAAATATATGGACATTCCTATGCTCAAACTGAACTTTTTWCTGTATTCTCCATACTCAGTATTACTCATTTATTTCGAGTTTTTGTTTTCTCTAGTTTCCAAAGTATGCAGAAATTGTAACTTTGACGCTCAACGATGGATCAAAGAGAAGTGGGCAAGTGCTTGAAGTTAGCGGCTCCAAAGCAGTTGTACAAGTAATGGACTGTATATTTTAATTTCAGAATTAATAACACATTCAAATGCATTAACTTTATAAGATGTAGCTTGAACATATGTAATAATATAATGGTGTTCTTAGGTTTCACGAAATATTTTTAAATTGCAGCTCGGATGTTGCATGATAAGAAAATTGAGTCGTCTCTAGCTTGAAAAATATAATTTAATGCAGACGTTTCGATTGCAACTGTGATCTTCTTCAGTGCAGTGGCAAAAATGCAAAGTGTGCACGCGCGACTAACAGTTTACACAAAAAATTACAAGGATTAGCGCGCAATGTTTACAAGAATCTAACAAAGTTTTATATAACACGGGGATTCGAGTTCTAAAGTTCCCCRAATATTCTTAGGTCTTTGAGGGTACTTCTGGTATTGATGCCAAGCATACGACGTGTGAATTCACAGGGGACATTCTTAGGACTCCTGTTTCTGAAGACATGTTAGGTAACTTCACAGCTATTATCACTTATTATATCATATTTGTAGAAAATARCAATCAGTAATTATTTCACTGTAAGTTGCTATGGCTGGTTATRATATATTTTAAGCACACGTTGTTCTAATAATATTTCAAATGTATTATAAATAGGTACTTGAATATTAAGTTGATTGATTTCAGGCCGTGTCTTCAATGGGTCTGGAAAGGCCATTGATAAAGGACCCTCTGTTCTGGCTGAAGACTTCTTAGATATTCAAGGTACATTAATTAACAAGGAAAATSTTTATAATCTAACTAGCAAGCAAATGTTGTATATACAAAATCAACCAAAGGAAAAAAAATATTGCGATTGAATGAAASTGTTATAATACAGGTCAACCTATCAACCCCTGGTCAAGAATTTATCCAGAAGAAATGATCCAAACAGGAATATCAGCCATTGATACAATGAATAGGTAAGTTGATTATAATAAAAGAGCTCTTCAAGGCATCTTGCCTAAATATYACACGTTTTGAATTAATAAAAGGAATATGAATGATAGAAATTTGAATCTTTTTGTAGCATTGCCCGAGGACAGAAAATCCCTATTTTCTCTGCAGCGGGTCTACCACATAATGAGGTTAATATTGTTATGATAAATCTACATGTATTAGTGTTTAATTTTGTGATACACTTGTTACATTTCTTCTCCTTTTAAAGCAAAAATAACATCAACTTCTTCCATTAAAGATTGCTGCCCAGATTTGTCGTCAAGCTGGCCTAGTCAAATTCAAGAAGGGTGTAGTTGATGATCATGAAGACAACTTTGCCATTGTGTTTGCTGCTATGGGAGTAAGTCTGTCTAAAATAGCTTCCAKATAGTGTACGAAATCATGRTTTAGTTTCTTATTACTTACATATTATGTTGCAACTTAAATTTTTTTTACAGGCCAACATGGAAACAGCTCGATTTTTTAAACAAGATTTTGAGGAGAATGGCTCCATGGAGAATGTATGTCTCTTCTTGAATCTGGCAAATGATCCAACGTAAGCACTCATGGTTTTATACACTGTATTGTACACTTATTAATTGATAGTCTCCATATTCCTTGAGTTTCACTTACTATTTACAAGTCCTATATTTTGTTTCTAGTATTGAACGTATCATTACTCCTCGTCTTGCATTAACAACTGCAGAATTCTTAGCTTATCAATGTGAGAAGCATGTCTTGGTTATATTGACAGATATGAGTTCATATGCAGAGGCTTTGCGTGAAGTAAGTACATGTAACAGTCCAGGTCTTGTGTGCAATCAGTAATGATTTTTATGCCTTTGTATATTAGGTTTCTGCTGCTCGGGAAGAGGTTCCTGGTCGCCGAGGATTCCCTGGTTATATGTACACAGATTTGGCAACAATATATGAGGTATTTATGCACAGTATCATACACACTGTAACAATGCAGAAATAGGTGATTATGGCAAAGCTGTGTTACCCTAGTGTACAGGATGAATATTATGGCCATATAATGGAGGGTGATCAGTTAATAGGGATGGAACTGAATTTAGTGTTATTTATAGTGCTGTTTTCTCATACTAAATGCAGAGCATTTTTTCCCAGCGTGCAGGGCGTGTTGAAGGACGCAATGGCTCTATCACTCAGATYCCAATTCTGACTATGCCTAATGATGGTAGGTACTATTAGCTAAGAGTAAACTATCAAAAGAGTTGAATCTAACTGATTGTTATTGACAGATATCACTCATCCTATTCCTGATTTGACTGGATATATTACAGAAGGCCAGGTTTACGTAGATCGTCAACTTCACAATAGACAAGTATGCTATACCACCTTTCTTTGAGCCTAGACTGAAAGCTATGCAACCAGTAAAGACAAAAGTTGCAATATTCATTTAGAAAMAGTCTCCTGTCAAGAAACACAGGGCTTTGGTCTTACTGCTAGWCAGTTTTCAAATGATGGCAGTGGTTTTAATAATAGGCAGTCTGCTTTCGTCCAGGCTGTTWSCAAATAAMTGTAATTCTAGTTCAAGTATTCTACAGTATTATTATTCTACATTTCCTTATTATTGCATGCCTAAAACCTAAAAATTTTCTTATTCTTYTAGTTTGCTATTGTCAAGGGTTTTTTTATTCATGTCCAAATCCACATGTTGTTTGTTTGAATCCATCTGTTATACAAATGTGTAGCTGTCATGTTAAGAYGCTGTGTTTTGTTATCGTCCAGGTTTATCCTCCMATCAATGTACTTCCATCTTTATCAAGATTAATGAAGTCTGCTATTGGTGAGGGAATGACAAGAAAGGATCATTCAGATGTTTCTAATCAATTGGTATGTCCAACACAAAAAAACAGTACTCATTACACCTTTATTGAGTTGATATTTTAATGGTTCTTCTCTGTTTTCATAGTATGCCAACTATGCCATTGGAAAGGATGTACAAGCAATGAAAGCAGTTGTAGGTGAAGAGGCTTTGACTTCTGAAGATTTGTTGTACTTGGAGTTTTTGACAAAGTTTGAAAAGAACTTCATAACACAAGGTAATAATAAAGAAATTGAGTTGTCTCTAGCTTGAACAAAAATTTTAATGCAAACGTTTYGATYGCAACTGYGATCTTCTTCAGTGYAGTGGCAAAATGCCAAGCGTGCACACRAGTTAGTACTTATCGTCTTCTTTTCTGCCTTTAACATAATATAAATGACATAAACAATGATCGACATTGTAACTGTTTTCCAGGAACATATGAAAATAGAACAGTATTTGAATCRTTGGACATTGGTTGGTCTCTTCTTCGTATCTTCCCAAAGGAAATGTTGAAAAGGATTCCACAAAGCACTTTRGCTGAATATTATCCAAGAGACTCTAGGCATTAGATAAAGTGATATGACAATAATCAGGAATTACAGCAGATTTTATAGCATATGACATGCATACTTCAAGGGGGAATAATTGGAAATGATATGTTTAGACATCAAAATTTATTGAAATTCAACCAAATGCAAAGGTTGATTCRTGAATTTGAAACTTAACTATGTTTTGGGGAATTTCAAAGTGAATCAGTTATGATTTTAAGGGTACAGTTTAAATGTTTAATCTGCTCAGCTTAGGCTACCCTGGTACTGTAGAAGATATACTATGAAATATCAACCAAACTGCATACACTATGTACATTATCTTTTTGATTGGTCTCAACAAAATTGTAGACAATGACAGTTGATTCAGGCAGAGTGATCACACTTAAACCGTGCAACTGTACAAACTAAATAGTACTATTTAGTTGCATTTAGTAAATCGTTATGCAGTACACAAATTATATTGAATTGATACGAATGAAGCATTCAATACCGTCTTGCTTCAGGTCCACTTTTAGTATGAATTAGTACTACTTAAATTTTGTACAATTGCACAGTTTTAAGTGCAATCACTCTAATACAACAATGTAGTGCTAACAGATGGAAACACTAGACGCCAACAAAGTGACTTTACTAGSAACTATAGACTACAGTGTTATAGGCAACAGACAACAACAGAAGACATGGAAGTGACTTCAGACTGACTCAGGGTAATACCGTATACATTTAACAATGATGGACTTTGAAAAACTTATGGACGTGAGAGTAATCTACATTGAATACTATGAAGTTCTCTTGTTGAACCATAGCAAAGACTACAGAGGAATAGGCTGTGCAGTGATGTAAGATTGATTTAGATTAATCCATAATAATTATGCAGGTTTAAACTTGTTGATGAGATACTRCTCTAATTCATAACAAACATGCATTTTTAATCTGCTGAAATGTACAAAAACAAATGTATTCTATCTTTGACTTTATTAAATTTATTCATTGACGAAGAAAAACTGTTGAATATTATAAGACCATCCTTGGATTAGAGTAATATCAGTTTTCTGTTGAACAGCGAATATCTATAACACATCAMYTTGTTACATTTTATTTAATTTAGAAATATTTTAGTAATATTACTGCTTTTAACAGTTTAACCAATGTTATTACATCCCTGAGAGACTTTTSGAACACCAAAGAGTACAAATAGAATTCAAAACAGTGATTCTCATTTGACTGTGAAAGAATTATTGTCCAGCTTAATGCACTGGTTGGAAGTTTGCTCTAATCTATAGTCTCAAACATGAACTAAATACATGTACAGTTGTAGGTCTTGTCAAATGAGAATCACAGTAGAGCACATTGACTTAGTTCGCAACTGTTTAGTG